TACTTAAAAACTAAAAATAGAACTTCCATGTGATCCAACAATTCTACTACTGGAATATACCCAGAGAAAACTGTAATTCAGAGACACGTGCACCCCCAGTGTTCACTGCAGCACTATTTACAATAGCCTGGATATGGAAACACCCTAAATGGCCATCAACAGAGGAATAGATAAAGATGCGGTACGTATATACAGTGGGATACTATTCAGCCATAAAAAGGAATGAAATTGGGTCATTTGCAGATACATGGATGGGCCTAGAGACTGTCATACAGAGTGAAGTCAGTCAGAATGAGAAAAAACTATTAATACATGTATGTGGAATCTGTAGTTACAAAGCAGAAATGGAGACACAGATGCAGAAGACAAATGGATAGATACCAAGAGAGGGAGGGGTGCAGTGAATTGGGAGACTGGGATTGACATGTATACACGACTGTGTATAGAACAGGTTACTAATGAGAACCTACTGTGTGGCCCAGGGAACTCTACCTACTGCTCTGTGGTGGTCTAAATGGGAAGGAAATCCAGAAAAAGAGGGACTTATATGTATACACAGAGCTGATTCCTCTTCCTGATACTGGGAAAGATTGAGGGCAGAAGGAGAAGAGGGCGTCAGAGGATGAGATGGCTGGATGGCATCACCAATGCAACGAACATGAACTTGGGCAAGCTTCAGGAGATGGTCGGGGACAGGAAGGCCTGGTGTGCTGCAGTCCATGGGGTCACAAAGAGTTGGCTATGACTGGGTGCCTGAACAAAAACATGGCTGATTCACTTTGCTGTACAGAAGAAAGTAACACGACACTGTAAAACAGCTATACTCCAATAAAAATTAAAAAATAAGATAAATGCTCCCCAAAGACTAAAAAATTAAAAGAATAAAATCTGCTAAGAATTTTTAGTATAGATTTTCTCATTTGAATGTTCCAGTACCTTTTAAAGTAGACACAATAGGTGACATTACCTCTGCTTTACGGATGAATAAATATGTCTAAGTTCATCTAAGTAGCAAGGAGGAAACTAAAGTCTACATTTTCTAAATCCTGGTACTGTGGAAGCAGAATGATATGGTTGAGACAGTGAGTTTCAGAGTCAGACAGACCTGGATGGAATCTTAGTTCCAATATGAACAGTGTGGTGACTTTGTACAATTTACTTGCCTTCTCTGAGTTTCAATTTTCTCATCTGTACAATGGAGATAATAGTACCTTCCTCATGGGGTTGTTGTGCAGATTAAATAATTTTTTAAATGTCTGGCACATAGTTGCTAAGTATACATACTTAAAGGTTTAAGTAGAGAAAACTATCTTCTCCATATGTAACACATACCACAGTTGGGATATGATGCCAATTAATGAGGATAATATTGATAGAATTTTGATCTTCTAGGTTGCCTAGCAACCACAACTAACATAATACCACAAGCTACCAGAGCTGTTTTAATGAAATCAGGAATTCAGCTGCTCTTAAGGAACTGAACATTGTAAGAAGACAGAAGGATTCTCCTATGAATTTGGAGTTGTGCCAGACATCTTAAATAAGTGATGTCCTAACCCCTCAGTCAAGAAGGCCTCCACTTCTGTTCCCCTAGGCAACAGATGTTAGAACATCTGTTGACCTGGATAGAGTGAGGATGGAAAAGGCAGAGAGGACTTGTTCCTCTATATCAATGTGTTCAATCCACATTCCCTGAGTGCCAAGGGTCTGAAATACAAAAACATTTGTCTTTGCCCCTTAATAATTTTGGAATCAAGAAGAGGAAATGAGTCAGCGTTGAACAGTAACCCAGCAGATTATTTCATGAGTGGCTTTCTATGTCTGTGTCCCTGGTAGTATTCTAAGCATTATGGACTGAACTGGACAAGCGGATATAGCCTGTCTCAAATATCCACTGTTAGGATTATTATTTTCCTGGCAAACCGTCCTGGCAGAATATTCAACTGGTCTCCCAACACATTAAATCAGATCTGCAGCCTTGAAAGACACACTGCCTGCTGGGGAGAGCATGAAGCTGAGTGGAAGACTTGGACTTCCAGCTTTGTGACTTACTGTGACTTTTACCTGAAGCAAGTTACTTAACCTGCCTTGGGCTCCAACTTTCTCATTTGTAAGCTGAGCATGATGGTTTAGATACTGCCTCGCTCATGGCAGTAAGTGTGATGCTGTGAGATAATAAATGTACATGGAAAAAAAAATAAATGTACATGTTCTGAGCCCGTAACTGCCATTTCAAGTTAATCTTCATCCCTGTGCCACCCAACTTATATCACATTTAGTTGAGCATCCTTGTGTCTGCCTTTACATTTCCTTATTCCTTTGAACTCAGGCTCTGACAGTGTAAAGAGTAAAAAGGGGAAAAGCTTGGAAATATTTTGTTTATTTGCACTTTGTATCCCCAAGTGTTAACTTCTTTTGCAGGGAAGATCAACTACTTAAGAAATCCATTGTGCTCCTTTGGCATGTCAGCATTTATTTACCCCAAAACATGACTTAAGGCCTAGAGGCCTTTGACATCAGCGGCTGGCTGATGAGTAGTGTTCGGCATTCATACAGTGCTGCTGGCACATGGCCAAGGAACACTTGGGCTGTCACCTGCCCCTGTCAATTCTTCCTCTTCTAATAAAGTACATCTGTTTTGGTGACTGAATAAAAACACGCCAAGCAGAGAAAGCCTGGGTGTGGAGTAATCTAATCAGGGCAAGTCAGCACTCTTTGCTGAGTGATACAGGATCAAGGGTAGGAGGGTGGTTTGGTAGCAGCTTATTGAAACACAGGCTGACTGGAAAGGGCTGGAAACAGTTCCTCATATAATTATAATGGGTCACACTCCAGGAATGCAGGTGGCCCAGTATATTATTCCCCAAGTCAAGAGTTTAAGGGGTAGGATTCCAATAAACTCCCTTCTGAATTGCCAGAAACGTTTCACATTAGCATCATTTTCGCAATTTGTTGAGGATTTTAAATTTCCAGGAAGTTCAAATCCAAGTTCAGAGCTCCACTGGTAGTGCTTTTTAATATTGCTTTTGTGGCTATTTGCTTGGCATCTTGAGGAATTAACTTAAAATACTTGAGTTTTAAAAGTAAAACAGCAGGGAGACTGACATTTGCGGTCTGCATATTCACACTTCTTAACTACTCATTGTATTTTTAAAAATTGTTTCTTTGTTGTGAATATGCAGTGATAATATAACTTTGGGTTTTGTTTAAAGAAGAGAAAGGAAACATGTTCAGAGTGCCAGTCTGGCCTTGAGTCTCATCCCTCACAGAGGGATGGATGGAGTGATAATTAGAGGGATGCAGGATGTTTGTATTTGAAAACAGCATAAGTAGAAATAATACAGTCGTAAGTTATAGGTCTGTGTTATTTTTTCCTGTTTTAATGATTTACCTGGTGATGTTCTTAAAGTCATTCCTTGCTGAGAAGAGAATCACTATCCAGACTGAAAAACTAGGAATTTGAGCAGCAGCAGCTTCTTTATTTTCACCTCTAGTTCTGTTGGTAGTAAAATGCTGTTCCTTTTTTTATTTCAGCTAAGTCATTTTCACCTCTGTAGGTACTTTTTTTCTATGAGACTAGATCTATGTTATTTGATATTTTATTACCAAGTGTTCTGTAAAAAAATCTATCTCAAAATAAAAACAATATAGCACACAAGTTCAAGGTTCTTGAATGTTATTTTGGTTTCAAAAAAATCAATCCAATGAATGCTTCATCTTGAAACCATTTATCGTTAAGAAACTTGGTGATAAATGATATATATCCTTCAGCTCTGTCATCATGGTTAAATCTCTCCTGAATGAGATCACATATTAGCATTTTTACCATATGGCTGAAAGGGTAGAGAATATATCTGCAGAGGAACTAGTCACTAACATTTTTGACCATCTGGCAAATAAATGTGTAAGTAGCAGGAACTTTAATATTATTTATTTAGTTATATAGATGCAACCTTTAGCCTGAAAGAGCCTCTAGTACAGTAAAGGAGAACTGAATTTATATTTCTCAAATAATTTTGATCTAATTAAACATTTTCACAGTCTACCATGTGCTCTTAAAACCTGACTCCTAATGGTGTGTTTCTTACATTTACTGATTAGGGCTCCTTACAGTGACTATTTTAAAATCTCTCTCATGAGAGACCACATGATTGGATCTAGCATGCTGGCTTAAGTGCTGAAGTTCTGCTCTGCCATCAACCACTGTGTGGCCTAGGATAAATTAGTCTCTCTGAGCCTCAAATTCTTCATTTGTAAAGAGTGAGTAACAAGTTGTCAAACAGCATCTCTAAAAGGGTGGGCCATGGAAGACATGAATTGATGCATCAGAATCATGTAGGGAACTTGTTCAAAATACCAACACTAAGGCCCCACCCTTAGAGATTTCTGACTCAGTATATCCGGAAACAGTCTATAAATCTGCATTTTTAGTCACTATCATGAAAGATTCTGAGGTGCACTGAATTACTGTTATAGAAACCAGCTGAATAGAGCACTTAGCTTTCTTGAAAAATACATAGTTAGCTAATTGCAACAAATACTAAAATATCTGTAAATTATTTTTAATTAAGCCTAACTTGAAAATATGCATTTTTTTCTATCCTAGAAATGTAATACTTTCAGTATTTGTGCTGAATATATTTTAACTTCATAGAAAGTAGGATGTCAACTTGAATAAGTAAAATGCTGGTGATTCATTAAATACACTTCTCAATTCTGTTTAATTGGAATCCTGTTTTTATTTCTTACATAGGCAACAACAACATATTTGTCAGCTAGAACTAAATCAGAAGCCCAGATGAACTTAAGGATGTTAGCATGGGATTCTTAGTTTTTCAAGATCCACATACACCAAACCCGTAATCACCCCAGCTCCAGTGTCCAGGCTTTCTCTGGTTTTGTGAAGACTCAACTCTGATGATGGAAAAGCAAAGGACTTAATTATTTGCTTTGATAATATTTACTATCGACTGAACAGTGAACCAGACAGTACTAGAGCCATGGAAGGAAACTCAAGTTTATGGAAGAACCTAATCAATGAACACCCTGTCTGCACCATCTGGAAGCAGGAGGCTGAAGGAGCCGTCTATCATCTGGCCAGTGTTTTATTTGTAGTAGGTTTCATGGGTGGCAGTGGATTCTTTGGGCTTCTTTATGTCTTCAGTTTGCTGGGATTGGGCTTTCTCTGTTCTGCTATCTGGGCTTGGGTGGATGTCTGTGCAGCCGACATATTTTCCTGGAATTTTATACTGTTTGTCATCTGCTTCATACGGTTTGTTCACATTGCCTATCAAGTCCACAGCATAACCTTTGCCCGAGAATTTCAGCTGTTGTACAGCTCCCTCTTCCAGCCTCTGGGGACCTCTTTGCCCGACTTCAGAACTATTGCTATGAGCTCAGAAGTGGTTACTCTGGAAAAGGAGCACTGCTATGCCATGCAGGGGAAAACCTCCATTGACAAACTCTCCTTGCTTGTCTCAGGAAGGTTTGTACTCTTGGCGTTTGTGTGGCTTTCCACCTTATTACTTACTAGCTTTTGTTTCTTTTTGCTGCACTTTCCCATCTCAACATAGTATAATCCTCAGCAGCATTTAGTATTCGGAGGCATGAGAAAACCCTTTAAACATGAGTCATTTACATAGGCATTTAGAATACATGGTACCATTTACTTGAAGCAGGATATAATTTAGTCTTAACATTTCTTCATAGAAATCAAAGGTATAAATTGGTTTGTCTGGATATGCTATTTGTTTACAAACTAATCACTTAGAGTCAAGAAAAAGATGATGCCAGTTTGAATGAATAGAATACTTATAGTTATTTAGCATACAAAGTATTTGAAACATCCTATTAGGGCATTCTTTTAAGTAATAGAGAACATTTAAATTTTATAAGGATCATTTTTTTTCCCAGTAATTTCTGGAAAATGCCCGCTTGCTCAAAGGGGAAGTGTACTATAGATAAAATTTGAAAAAAAGTTTGGGTGCTCGCTTCGGCAGCACATATACTAAAATTGGAACGATACAGAGAAGATTAGCATGGCCCCGGCGCAAGGATGACACGCAAATTCGTGAAGCGTTCCATATTTTTCAACAAATATTAAAGGATCTTCTCTAGACAGGAAACACAGAAAGGTGGTATAAACGTGAACCCCAAACAACAAAATAAATGGCAACGGGACCATACCTATCAATAATTACCTTAAATGTAAATGGGTTGAATGCCCCAACCAAAAGAAAAAAAGTTTGGGGGAGAAATAGGAATGTGATTATTCATGTTTTTTAAAAGGGTAAATATTTAGTTTACAGAGCTATTTCCAGTGGTACGTCTTTATGTTCTTCAGAGTTCTACTTAATTTAAAATCTGACTGAGTGCATTGAAACTTGTAACTGTAATATATTATACACACCTAAATGGGCACATATCAATGTGCAGTTTGATGAATTTTCTGATGAATTTCACCCACCGTTCCAGAATCCTAACTATGGGAGGAGCAGCAGTACATAAATTTTACAGATTTTTGTCACTTATTATAATGTATGAATTTAATATTTTGCCCTTCAAGATTTTAAAAGCCAAAAGAATCATCAGAGATCAGAAATACTGCTCCCTGCCCTTGTCACCAATTTAGTTCTTTCTCCTTCCCTCCTGACTGATGTCCTTTGTGTCTGGGTAGGATCAGAGTGACAGTTGATGGAGAATTTCTGCATTACATTTTCCCCTTCCAGTTCCTGGATTCTCCTGAATGGGACTCACTGAAACCCACAGAGGAAGGCACTTTTCAGGTAAGGGATAACTAGACCACACCGTGAACGCTGCCTCTTTCAAACAGATAAACGCTGCTTGTTTAAAAACAGGCAGACAAGCAAACAGGGCAGCAGATGACATGGGGTCATTTACACTTAACTTTGTAATGCACTTGGTAGCATGCATGTCTTCCCCATTCCACTTGAGTCTTACTGATTAATGTCACTTTATAGGTCCAGCAACAAGGAGAAGATTGGGTATCCTGTAGGACAGAAAGAAGTCTGTGATCAATTCTTAAATTTTCCTTTGCTTAACTGAGTACATGGGAATTAAAATATAATCAACTGATATTTGACTCTAAACACTGCCACCTGTCACAGTTTAGAAAAACACCAAGAATGAAAATCTGTCCTTATGACAAAATAAGTGACTTTTAAAATTCAAAATGTGATGAATTTCAGTTGTTTTCTAGCAACAAAATGCTAAACAAAATGTCATTACTATGCTGCCATATCGGGTAGTATTGAAAGATAATCTTTTCAGTAGGTTCTATTATGGCATTTGTTTTCCTCTGGTTAATACATGTAACATACATGTGTGTATACATGTGTGTTTTATATATATAGAATCATATACATATGTAGATCAGGTTAATTCTATTCAGTACTACAGAAAATGTATTAAGGTTAAATATCCACAGTCTTTAGGACTGACATGGAAATATTTCCCCAACATTAGCCAACTTTATTATTTTTTAATATCAAGTAGCTCTCACTTCAATTAAATGCAAAATATAGATATCTAAACTTAGAAACAGATGAACTGGAGATGGGCACAACACTGTGATTATTCATGTTATGAATTACATATATAGTAATAAATTTTGTACTTTCTCTATGTTTTACAATATATTGTGGGTTTTAACGTTAAAATCAGCATGAGAAATTCATTTAAAATTTGGGGCGAAAAAAAAAAAGACAGAACATTTCTTGTCACTTAATCTCTGTTTATGTGTGGTCTTATATGTTTTTTTAGGTAACCCTCACAGCAGAAACTGATTGTCGATATGTGTCTTGGAGGAGAAAGAAATTATACTTGCTCTTGGCTCAGCATCGGTATATCTCCCGCCTGTTTTCGGTTTTAATTGGCAGTGACATTGCAGATAAACTCTATGCCTTGAATGACAGGGTATACATAGGAAAAAGATACCATTATGATATTCGGTTACCCAACTTCCTTCAAATGTCAAGTCCTGAAATGTCCAAGTCATCCCTGACAGAACATTTTCAGAATTCCAGACGATATTGTGATAAATGACATCGAAGTCTCAAGTTTTATAATTATAAAAGACTCTCTTCATCATTCCCCAAATGAAATAGCAAAATATGGCAAATTGAGCTCACTAATATTTTTATAAATCCAACTCAGAGGCAAGATGCTATTGCCAGCTGTTTTATTCATCTTAACTTGTACATTGTGAATAAATTTTACAATTTTTTTTTCTGTATTTCTCATTGGAATATACGGGGGGGGGGGTGTGTGAAAAAACTGTGGGCAATTTTGTCTTTTTCTGTACCAGAACCAGGAGAATGAAATTTTGTATCCTTAGGTATGTCCTCAGATTTATGGAAGTCTGCTGCCGAGCCCTACTGAGTTAGGTGTCACTTCTCAAGAAGCAGTCAGTAAGTACTCTCAGCAGGAGAGTGGGTAGCTACTTCCACATCAGTGCTGTCAGAATTTTGCTACAACCTCTGACGAGAGCAACATGTGTTACTATGGGGGTAGGCAGCAATTATTTATTTTAAATGTGAAGTTATTTAACATGAGTCGAAAGTGGAATAAATGTTTGCATCTCTTGAGATGATAGTATGCCAATCTTAAAGACTATTTTATTACTACAAATAATTTATCAGCTTAATCATGGCTAGCATATTTTAAACAGAGGCATTTCATGAAAAGCTACATACTAATTACTGAGTAAAAAGAATACTTGTGAATCAATAGTAGAAATGTAGCATAGCATCTCGGTTTTACAGGTTCAGTTCTAAGGGCAAGAGGTGTGGTCTGACCAGATGGTGAGGGACTCCTACTGAAGGCTCTACCCACCACGAGGGGCAGGCAGGTGGTCTACCTTCGAGCCATTCCTTCAACTCTGTAAAGACACGGATCTGATCCCTATCTGGAAAACTGGTTTTCTGGAGCTCACATGCAAGCCGTGTTCTTTGGTAGAGATACAGCATCCTACAGCTAGCAAGTGTATATTGAGTACCTACCGGGGACTTCCCTGGTAGCTCAGATGGTAAAGAATCTGCCTTCAGTGCAGCAGACCCAGGTTTGATCCCTGGGTTGGGAAGATCCCCAGAGAAGGGAATGGCAGCCCACTCCAGCATTCTTGCCTGGAAAATGGACAGAAGAGCCTGGTGGGCTACAGTCCATGGTATCGCAAAGAGCTGGACACAACTGAGCAATTAACACGCTGTGGCTCCAGGTACTGACCTGAACAATGGGAAGATTTCAGGTAACAGAGGTCCTGTTACTCACAGAGCTCACATTCTGGAGGTGAAGGAGGCAGAAGATAAATCAGAAGCACCTAGAGACAGAAAGAGGTAGTACTGTAGAGAAAGATAAACCAGAGAAGGTGGCTGGGAAGGGGCACTGCAATTTTAATAGGAGTCAAGGAAGACCCGAGAGAGAAAGGTAATGTTTGAGCAAAGACCTGACGGAGGCAAACAAATGATGCATGCGGCTATTTGGGGAAACAGCAGTCTGGGCCGAAGGCAAGCACATGAGGTCTTTAGGCAAGAGCAGGCGGAGCTAGGACACTGGTGTGGCTGGAGCAGAAAGACTGCACAGGAGAGGGCCCAGAGGTCAATTGTGGGGCCTAATTAACTCATGGTAAGAATTTTGACTTTTATTCTGAGAATGACCAGAAGCTACTGGAGAGTTTTAAATAGAAGAGTGATGTGATCTGCCCTACACTTTAATAGAATCACCTCTGTCAGTATGCTAAGAAGGCTGGAGGAGACAGGACTGCTCTTGGAAGGGGAGATCAGGGTTCAGTGAGAGATGCTTATTAGACTGAAGTAGAATAGATAGCTAGAGGAGTCTAGAGTACCAGAGAAAGGTCTGGGCTGGAGATAAAGATTTGGGAGTATTTCACATGTGTGTGTTAATCACTCAGTCGTGTCTGACTCTTTGTGACCTTAGGGTCTGTCCATGGAATTCTCTAAGCAAGAATACAAGGGTGGGTTGCCATTTCCTTCTCCAGGGGATCTTCCAGACCCAGGGATCGAACCAGAGTTTCCTGCGCTGCAGGCAGATTTTTTACCATCTGAGCTACCAGGGATTAGTTGTTTGTTGTTGTTTTTCACATGTAGATGATATTTAAAACTGTGGGACTAGATGAGATAGTCAAGGGAGTGAACATAGGTTCAGAAGAAGAAAAGGTCTGGGGACTTTTCCTTGGGACTCTCCATTGTTAAGAGGATGGGGTAGCAGGGGAAGAGTTGGCAAAGGATTCAAGAAGAAGCAGCTGGTGAGGAAGGAAGGAAACCATGAGCATGCAGTCCTGGATGTCAAGAGAAGAAAAGTGTTTCAAGGAGAAGGGAGCAGTGAACTGCCTCAAATGTGGCTGACAGTCAGGTAATAGGAAGCCTGAGAATGAATAACTGGGCTGAGCAGCATGGAGGTCACTGGTGAGCCTGACAGGAGCCGTTTTAGTGGAGTAAACTGGGGACAAAATCTTGACTGAAGTAGGCGGAGAGAAAATGAGAGGCATGAAATCAGAAGAGCAAGTATAATAATGTTTACCAAGTTTTGATGTGAAGGGAAATAGAAATGGCTGGTAGCCTGAGCTGGAAGTGGGGTCAAGAAAAGAGGATGTTTTTATTGTATATTTTTTTAACTGAGAAAAAAACAACGGGACTTCCCTGATGGTACAGTCGACAGGAATGCGCCTGCCAAGGCAGGGGACACGGGTTCAGTTCCTGGTCCAGGAAGAGTCCACACACCTTGGAGCGACTAAGCCTGTGTGCCACAACTACTGAGCCCAAGCACCCTAGAGCCTGTGCTCCCCAACAAGAGAAGGCACTGCAATGAGAAGTCCGCACTGCATCTCTCCAGAGCGGCCTCTACTCCCGGCAACCGTACAAAGCCCACACAGCAGCAAAGACCGAGCATGACCTAAATAAATAAATTAACAAATTTAAAAGAAGAAAGAAAAATAACAGCATATTAGGCATGAGGCTGGGAATGATCCAGAAGAGAAGGGTGAACTGCGAGAGTGATGACCTTGAGCAGATGAGTTAAGGGCGACTAAGCAGAGACACCCAGTAGACGAGAAGGCACAGCCTGTCGGAGTGTGGTTGCTGGCAAGGGGGAGAGGTGATGGGAGCGTATGGAAGTCCGCTCACAGTTACTTCTGTTTTCTCAGTGAGCAAGGGAGCAAAGTCACGGGGAGGAGAGGGAAGAAGCCGTGGGGTTGTGTAAAGTACATTACTTTCTTGTATGTGCATCTGCCGTAAATGGGACAGTACGATATGGTCTGAACGCCTCTGGATGAGCCACTGAGCTTGGCATGAACTAAACGGATAGTCGGGAGGTTCCTCTGTCTCCCGGCCACACACGGGCAGTGCTTACGAGCAGACACAGTGGCACCTGTCTGCCTGGTGAAAGCCTTCAGGAAGCACCCGCTGGCTTGTCAGCGGGCTCCACAATGGCTCTGGGAGAAATTCATTTCTTTGTGCCTATAAGACTGTGTGGTATTGAATATTAAAATACAGAGTACCCCAAGGAGCAGTCACACCTTAAGTTACTACCAGCTAAGAGTACAACAGGGGTTAATTATCAGAGAGCTGTCTAACCATGAAAGTCAACTGAGAACAAAGCCAGGCAGAGATGTGATATAGACTTATGGCTCAAATCAAGGGGCAGAGGGAAGAAAAGAATTTCTAGTTAAGTTTTCCAAAAATCAAATCAATTTTAGACGAGGAAGAAGGAGTACAAACATAACAGGATGAACCTCAGAGATGCTGTCAAACCTCTCCATCTTCACACTTGTATAAGCCTGGCACCATCCCTCGGTATTAACAGATCGGCTATTATTCAATACCTTGGTTGCACCCAGCTTTTCTCACTTAAAAAAATAAAAAACCCCATAGTGACCTCCATGGATCCACTCTGTATGTTTGCTTTGAAGTGTCTAGCTATCTTTACTATCTATACTATACTATCTATACTAGATACTTTACTATCTATACTATCTTTACTATCTATACAATTACTTTGCTTTCTCTAAATATTCTAATCAACCCAGATGGAAAGAAGAAAGCAGTGATATTCTGGAAGTGTACCCTGGAAGTGCAATATTACAGTGCATTTAAATTTGATCTCTATTAAAAACTAGGCTCAATTTAATCGCAGCCTAATTGTTTCCAGCCCTAAATTCCTTTGGTTCATTTATTGTTGGTAATAGAGCAGTAAGATAAGGAAACAGCTGCTTTCTTGTGTTAAAAATGCTTTGTGCAGGGCACTCCAAGTTGGTGCTCTGGGACAACCCAGAGAGATAGGGTGAGGAGGGAGGTAGGAGGGCGGTTCAGGATGGAGGGACACATGTATATCTATGGTCGATTCATGTTGATGTATGGCAGGAAACATCACAATACTGTAAAGTAATTATCCTCCAATTAAAATAAATTAATTTTTAAAATTCACATTTAAAAAACTCCAAAAAACAAACAAAAATGCTTTGTGGCTTTGTATAAAAATATGTATATGCAAAAATTAATGGAGCACCTTGTCCACAAAGAATAAAGAATTTCGAGATTAAGACAGTACAGCATTTATACCAAGTGTGGCGCTTTCATAGCCCGGGGCTCTCCATGACTATATAGGACGCAGGCCCATGAAGCTGGCACAGGCCAAGAATGGTCCCTCCTTCTTGACGGAAATGGGGTGATCGCTTTGTGACTTTTCTGTGCTAAATTTCATGGTCAGGAAGAACTGAGAAGTAGCCTGAAGGGTGGGTCTCTGGCTTAAAATGCATCCATAAACACTCCCACCCCCATCACCAAGGCCAGTTCCCAGAGGCTGCAGGCTCCAGTTACACAGCTTATGTCACTTAGATGTTTGGAAGCCTCCCACCCTCTCGGGGCAGGATGTGGGGCAGAGCTAGACCTACTAGCCTGATCTAACCTTTGTGCAAATATGAAAAGGACCAGTGGGATTTGCCCTGGCTCTGCACCCTCAGGAACTCACAATGCTGAGATGTATCTACCATAAAGAATAGTACGATGCACTCAGCATTCAGAGGTGGAAGA